CCACCCCCCTTTCGGTCTTTCCTGTCGCCAACTCTCGTTTGAACCCCAGAACCGCCCGCGCCCCTCCTGGTCCTGCCCACAGCGGGTCCTGGGGAGGGGAGGGGGACACGGGGAGGGCAGCGATGGGCAGAGGGTGACACTGAATTTGCAACTGGGATGGGCAGTGGCGGCAATTTCTTCTGGCTGTTGGCAGTGTAGAGCCTTCACCCAGCCTTCCCCCCTCCCCGAGGCACGAGGGGTGGGACGAGGACCTTTCCTCAGCCACCTGGGGCAGGGATGGGGCGGCCTCGTCCTTCCCTCCTCCCACCCCAAGGAAGGGACGGGGGTGGGTGCCGGGCTGGGAACAAAACAAAGACACTTGGTTCGTGTTGTGGTTTAAGGAACACTTATTTCTTGGCAAAGTACTGGGCCCTGGCGTGGCAGGAGGTGCTGCAGGCAGTGCTCGGAGAAGGCACGGGAGATTCTGCTGTGCGTTCTGAAAGGGAAGGGAAGAAGAACCAGCCCAGCCCACCCTGCCCCTAAAACCCCCGCTGCTCCCAGGGGTGGAGCCGGGCAAAGGTGATGTCGTACAGCCAGTCACAACCAGGTTCTCTCTTCTTCCAACCAGGCCAAACGGGGTGAAGGAGGGAAGGAAGGAAGGCAGCGGAGCTTCCTCCAGCCCTGCCCGCCTGGTGCCACAACCCTGGGGAAGGAACTCAAGCAAAGCAAAGCCTGCCTCCTGCTCAGGGCCATGGATCACCAGAGGGGCAGTTCAGAGCCGACTGGGGCCTCTGCTCCAAAAAACAGGACTCTCCCTCAAGGGTTCCAAGAGGTGGAGGTGAGGCAGGACACAGGGTGAAGAGATGACCTCCAAAAAAGCAGCAAGTGAGGCCGAGCCTCCAACAGCACCTTCCCTGGAAGACCTGCAGCCAACCAAGCAACTGCCACCTCCTCTGGCAAAGCAGCTCCAGGAAGTCAAGGGTCCTCCACTGGCCATGGAGCCTCCCCCCTTTCCCTGGGATAATGAGACAGCCTAATTCATCCCTTCCACCACTCGGGAGTTGGCCCACTGTGCTCTCAGTGCCCCGATGCTTGTTCTCTGTTCAGCCTGGTAAAGCTTTTGGTGGGCACAGCTGGAGCATCCTCTGAGGCCCCTCAGCATTCCACTGGAGCTGCCACTCCAAGGCTGAAGGATTATTTAACCCAACAGCCCAAATTTCTGCCAGAATGGGCAGAAATCCCCCTGCTCTCGATGGCAGGAGCCATAAAACCTTGGCAAAGCTCCCACCAAGAGTTTCACACCCAATCAAGAGCAGCAGAGAGGCCTCTCTTAAGATTCCCCAGGAAGGAGCCACAAGTCTCACAACCATGGTTTGGGGTTTTTTTCCCCACCACTTTTTCACTGCCAGTTCACCTCCACCTTTGTAGAAAAATCAGAATCTTTTCCATCCAGCAAAGTCACAGCCAAGTCACCTTCATTCCTCATCTACCAATTTGGAAACAGAGAGAGAAAAGTGTGTGTGGACACACGGAGGAGGAGCTGGAAAGGTCAGGTACCATTTTTCAAGGTGGAAGACTGGTGCACATCCCTGTATCTCTCAACCTGTAAGTAAACACCTTCCCCTGGCTGGGTTTGGTTGTTTATTTCTTAGTTTTAGCACTAGAGTGCCGACTGCCCCCACTTCCCACTGCAGAGTTCCTGGGGGGCAAATCCCACGAGCAAAGAACAAACCCCAACGTTAGAAGAAAACCCTAAAAACCACAAGTGGAAAAAGAAAAATAAAATAAAAGTCACAAGTGCAGCCCAGCCCTCGGGCTGAGGGTGGGCATGTAAGACTACACCAACTTGAATTTCCTTTGATCATGCATTTTGCAAAGTGAACCCCCCCCCCCCAACAGACAAGACGCCTGGAGCCCAACTCTTGGAGAGGAAAGAACCTGGCTGCTTCACCTGGGTGAGTACCACGGAAAACGAGGGATGGAGATGGCACAGTTGTTTGGCTTCGCCTCTCTCCCAACACCCAGCATCGTGGTACCCTGGTTCCCACTGCTAACTCATGGTAAAAAAACAAAACAAAACAAAGAAAAACAAACAAACCCCCCGGAAAAAAAAAAAACAAAAAACCACCCCAATGATATACGTATGAGCAGTTTGACACGAGGTGTGAGCAGTTACTGGTGCCAACGTCACACCGGGCGAGGGGCCGAGGTGCAGGAGGAGGAGGAGAAGGAGGAGGAGGAGGAGGGGGGGGGTTCCAAGTTCTAAGGTCAAACCGATGTCTCCAGGCTGTGGAAGGGGCTCTCGGGCTCCGGGACGGAGAGCTCAGCTCGATCGCTGTCCACTGCATTGTTATTTCTGTTCAGGGCTGGAGGCCCACCCAGGCTCCCCCCACCGCGCTTCAGGAGTCCGTCAGTCTCGGGGTCGTCTTCAGCGCCGTCAAGGAATGGTGTTCGAGGCTCGTCTTCCTCCAGGATGAACTCTGGGTGAGTCATGAAGTTATGGATGGAGCTTCTGGATTCGGGTTTCTCGAGGCCTTCGTACAAGGAGCTACGGAACGCATTCACCACTTTGATCTGCCGGGAGCGCGGGGAGGGGGGGGCAAAAGACACGGGTTAGTGGCGGCTCCGAGGGGCCAGGGCGCCCGGGAGGGAGGCAAAATAAAGAGTGAGGACACGGTAAAACGGAAAAGCACAACCACGACAACAAGGTCACCACCACTGAGCACACAGCTGGGCCAAACTTGAGAGGTCTATGGTGAACTAGGAGGGCCAACACGGATCAGACTCAGGCACTGGGGGTGTGTGATGGGGGGGGGGGGATCGACCGACTATGGGGCGACTTCAGAAGCTGCAAGAAAAGACACAGAACGACTCAGCCCCCACCCCCCCTCCTCCCCCCAGATCGCTCCGGATGGATGGAAGCCAAAATGCATTAGTTGTCATTACATGTGCACAACGCGTTTCGTGGGGATGGACGAGGACAACAAGGTGGAACTACGACTCAAAAAAGAGGTGGGTTAGACAAACAGCGGGTTCCAAACACTCTACCGTGGGAGCCATGGGTGTGTTTGCTCTAGTTCATGGCTAGACCTACGGAAAGGAATGGGCTTTAAAAAGGTGTCACCAACTTTTCAAGCCCATGGGAAGCACCAGGTCCAAGTGGATGCCAAGATCAGCAAACCCAGCTAAACTCGAGGGAAGCCAGATCTGCGTGTGGTTCCCCACGCAGCTGGAGCTCTGGATTCTTCCCTACACCAGCATGCTGAAGAAGACCCACTGGTTTCCAAAGGCAGCTAATTTTGTTGGATGCTCTGCATGAAAACCGCTCTCTTTGCTTGGAATCCCAGCCACGCTCCTGGGAAACCCACGGGGCAGCTCCCCCGAAAGCCAACGTGTTACAAGCAGGAGATCCAGAGCCTGGTTTGGACAAGCAGGGAATGGCTCTGCTACCTCCACTGCACTGGAAGGGTCTGGAAACAAGCCTGTGTGGTGGCTTGCAGTGGATTCACTGCTCCCTCCAGGCCCTCTGGAAATCCAGCCTTGAACCCTTCCAGCTCTCACCCTCCCTTGCAGTTGTTAGGTCAGATCCAAGGATTAGATCCAGGGTCTTGTGAGTTTTATGAAAGCAACAGAAGCCTTTGCTCCATTAAGCAGAGTTCATCTGGGGCCAGGAGATCTGCTCAGCTCCTCCTGTCCCAGGGAAATGCCTCCAGACCACTGTGAGACCTTGTTCAGCTCCATGGTGGCTCATCAGCCACCTTCACCTGCTCCCAGCACCTGAGGAACCCAGTCCCCACCCCATCCCAGTCACCTGCCTGCTCTCCTTGTGTTCCCGTGGACTGAAGCTGGGGAGGAGATCCACAGCTCCCACAAAAGGGGTGGGGGAGCAGCATCCCTGTGCTCCACCCCAAAGAGCTTCCCCATCACTCAGCCACGTGCAGAGCTGGAGGGAGAATGATCCAGGTACCCCCTTTCTGATGAGGCAAATGAGGAGCCCTTCTGAGTCCCCTCTGCACTTGGCTCAGAATGGTGGGGCTGTACTGTGAGAGTGGCATCCCCTGGCACAGGCATCTCCTGACACATCCCCTGGCTGGAAACAACTTTTCCCCCAAGCTCTTGCACACACACACACACACACACACACACACACACATGGCACAGCACACAGATGTGAGCTGGAGACACTGATGAGGAGATGAGTGTGGGCCAGGTACCCCCTGGTGCTGGAGCACCAGCTGCCCTGCAAAAATGGAAGGTTGGTGGAGATGGAAACAGAAATTCAGAGCTGGGTTTGCTGCACTAACAGCACAGTAAGAGCCTGAGTAGAGTCAGTGTGAGTGCACAGGATCACACAGGCCATCTCCAACCCAGGCTCTCTCAGATCTGTCACATCACCAGCATCTTGAGAACAGCACCTGCAATCCCTGCCCCCTAAAATGCAGAGTGCACTCAATCAAGTATAACCAACTCAACCAGGCCAAGGAGAGCCCAGGGACTGCCAAAGCAACGAGGTGGTCAGGTCAGCCCAGTACAGGCTCAGAGGTAGGAGCAGCTCCCCATGAGCCCTCCCTGCCCCACCACCTCAGGCACTCGAGCCCAGCCTGTCTCTGCCCCCTCACTGCCTGCAGCTCCACCAAGGAGCTTCTGCTGCAGCTTTGCTCGGATTTTCTTCCTTCAGCCATCTCCATCAGCAGCTGCTGTGAAATGAATTCAGCTGTTCCCTTGTCAGAGGAACAGAACAGCAAGGAAATGTGTTCTGAATGAGCCAGGCAGTGCAAACAAAACCCAAACCCTCCCCTTTTCCAAGCTGGAAGCCCCCCTCCCTCCCTGCTCACGCCTCCTCTCCACCTGGAACCTTCACACAACCTCCAGGCTTGGAATTCACTCTCCTGTCACACCATTCCTGCAGCACCACGATGTGCTGGGCAAACCCCACTGCTCACAGGGAGAGTGGAGCTACATCCTCTGCACGAGGCCAGAATCAGCTCCACTGCTGACCCCTGGCTTTGCCCAGCTCCTTCACTCCAGGGCAAAATTCCCAGGGAGAGCAGCCCAGCTCTGCAAACCATCTCCAGAGGGCCATTCCCTCCCTGTCCACCACCCCAGGAGGGACAGAGCAGCGAGGCTGCCGAGGTCCAACCCTGGAGAACTCATCCACAGGAGTGCAGTGGGGGGGGGGGGCAGAGGGACACCGTGGATCCGTGTGGAGGGAAGAGGAGCTTTGGGAGAGAGGGAAGCAGCAGAGGGAAATAAAGAAGTCCAGGCAGAAAACAGAGGCAAGACTTGGAGACCTGGGTTAGCTCCTGGAGGATTTGCTGCCTGGAAGGGCACGAGCTATCCAGGTTATCTATTCCCTTGCTGCAAAATCTGGGAGGAAATTAATGCACAGACTGCAAAAAACCTGCATTTTGGTCTTGGTTCTCCCCCCCCACAGCTCACTACTCTGAGCCCCCCCTAAGCAGGTTTTCTTCCACTAGAAAGCCTCAGGGGTGCCCAGATGCAGCTGGGAGCAGAGAGGCAGCTGTGCTGCTTCAGAAACACTGGGGTTAAACACAATCAAATCCAAGCACCAGAGTCAGCTAAACAGAGAGAAAACAAAATTATCCCAAATTCTCTCTCCTCCCCCACAGTGCATAAACAGTGGAGACTGAAAGCTATTCAGAAAGCCACCGAGGGTATTTCTCTACTAAGAGGAGAACACGGAAAGTGACTGTGCAGTAAAAAAGCCAATTATCCAGGAAAGACACACAACCTACTCCCAGCCTGGCACAGCCTGCAGAGAGAACTCCCCCTCATGTGCTCCCCAGCCCCAGCCACAGGCACAGAGAGGGGCTCTGCACCAGGGAGGGATTATTTTGGCCTGGAAACCCACTGCTAGATTCAGGATCCTGCTTTCCCGCTGGAAATATCAGTGGTTTCCGTGCCGTCTGCGTGCACAGTGGGGCGTCTGCACACACTGAGGACCAGCGTGTGCAGCACAAGGTGGGTGCTGAGGGTGCTCTGGCTGCCCCCACGGAGCACCACAGGGCACCCTCAGCCCTGTCCCACATGCCATGCAAGCCCCCAGGTGGGGCACAGAGGCTGCTGGCTCCCAAACCAGCTCTGGCCCAGGTGAGCAGCCCCGGGGTGTCACCACGGGCCGGCTGAGCTGTGGTAAGGGCTGTTCACAGGCCCCATCCATCCAACCAACCAACCCCCCCACCCACGGCAGGAGCAAATCCTGCTCGTCCCACGCCCTCCCCACGGCTCAGCCAGCCCTGCAGCGCACTGGGGGAAGGTCCCAGAGGCCACTCTGCCTCCAAACAGATTTTACAGCTGCAGGAAAGCAGCGCCTCTGCCCAGCCCTGCCATCCTGGGGCCGGGCAGAGCCGCAGTGCAAAGAACCAGCAGGGTCTGGGCTCAGTGCTGGCCCTTCTCACAGCAGTGCTTTGGGCTGCTCGTGAGCACGAGGTTCTTTGAACCGAGAGCTGCCAATTTCTGCACCCCTCAGGAGGGTGGACTCAAAACGTCAGCCCTGCAAAGGAGGAGAAGAGGTAAAAACGGAGGAAGCGACAAGGACTGGGGGGGGAAACGACCAGAAAGGTCAACTCGTTAAAGGTGCAACAAAGCATCAAAACCATGGGGGTTTTTTAACGCTTTCCCGCCCCATCCTTCATGTTGGGAACCAGTGTGCGAGTCAAGGTTTAGAGGGAGAGAGAACAGGCTGGGTTAGGTGGGTGCAGGTGCTCTCTGTGGTTATTAGAAGTCATGCATTGTAATAGACTATCACTCACTGCCCGCAGGAGGAGATGCAGCAGCAGCAGCAACAGCAGAAGTGGTGGGAGTGGAATTGACGGAGGAAAGAGCTACATGGGTTGGGCTAGAAACATTTTTTACATCGTGGTGCTGGCTCACGATGGAAGGCTGTCTCCTGAGGGCTCCCTGCAAAGAGGAGGCGCCGGTCTGGAATGTGTAAACTACGTCCATCTGCAAAGAACCAGAGAGTGAGATAGCGTCGCCCGGGCAGGGACAGGGGCAGGGGCAGGGAGGGAGGGGAGCAGGGGGGTCGGGCAGACACACACACAGACAGGAAGGAAGAAGGAGGATGGACAGGTGGGGAGGAGGGAGGAGAGAGCCCCCACCCCGTAAGCCCGCACCGGGTTGGGCTGGTGTTCCAGGGAGCAGAGAGGTCACCTGCCAGCCTCTGCCCCTCCCCGGGGAGTGAGAGCAGCAGGAGTCACCCCACCACCACCAGAGAGACCGTGGTGGGAGGGAGTGACAGAGGAAACACCTTAAGTTATCCCAGCAATCTGCAGCAGGAGCAGAGGAAGAGAGAGGGTGGGCAGAGGTGCGAGCTGGCAGCCGGTGGGTCCAGAAAACTGCACTGGCAAAGGGTTGGTGGTCCCTCAGCCCCGTTGTGGCGTGTTCAGCTGAGGGGGCTGAATCCTGGCACACACCACGTGCCGACAGCAGGAGACATTTCAGCCCCTCTCCCAGGCTCAGGGCTCTGGAGCAGAGCTGGAGGGGGCAGGAATGCAGCAAGAAGCATCCTTGGTGGGGGGGCCACAGCTCTGTGGGTGTGCTCCGAGGCCAGAGGAACCAGGCAGGATCCAGGTGCCACCTTGGCTTCCCAGACACTTTGCAGCTGGAGTGTCCCCAGCCCCAGTCTGATGCCCCTCTTCTCCCCAGTGCCCCAGGCTGGGCTGTGGGGAAGAGCCCTGTGCTCTCATCCAGACACACTGAGTGGGGACAGAAGCCCCCAGATGCTCAGGCTGGGCTTGCCTGCTCTGCTCAAGGGCACCACAGCCAGGAGAGGAGTCCCTAAAGAGGCTCCAGGATGTGCATCCAGGAGTGTTTCTCATGTTTCAAGAGTGAGGGCTCATCTCAGCCCAGGTCCACCACACCTGCAGGGAGATCCCTGGGAGGCTCCAGGCTCACCTGGCTGCTGGCACTGCAGCCCTTTGCACCTCCCAGACCTCCAACACAGCTGGACTGCTCCCAGAAGAGCCTGCAGCTGCCAGCACATCCTTCATGTCAGGGAACCACTGATTTCCAGCACTGCCCAGGCTCCCCAAAGAGCCCCTCACTGCTCACAACGAGCAGGGAAGTCAAGTCTGAACTTCACCTTGAAAGCATCAAGGCAACATCTCCCGGAGCAGAAGGAAAGTTGCTGTGGCACAGCCCGGCTGCTGTGCTGCCCCAGCCCCTGTCTCTGGGCCTTTTTGCTTTTCTCTGTCTGTCAGAAGGACAGAGAGGAGGCACAAAGGTAGCCCAGCAGCCCTGTGTGCCAGGACACTGGACATGGAGCTTTCCCCCATGGGACAGCTCTGCCCAGGCCTCCAGCAGAGGTGAGGGGCTCTGACCTCACTGCAGGGAGGTCTCCCAGCCCTGCCCAGTCTGGGGTGGAAAAAAAAAAGTCCTTTCAGGAAAAAAAAGAGAGTCATGGAAAACCAGCGGATGTAAAAAGCATATTAAGAGAGAGATTCTCCTCCCCTTCTGTGCTGTGGGGCCAAGAGCTCCTGGTGAGGAGCACAGAGAGCTGGCACAGAGGGGTGGGCAGCAGCCAAGGGGCTGTCGGGAAGAAAAGAGAAATCAAGGAGCAAGACCAGAGATGGTCTCGTGCAGAATGAGCCCTCCTGGGCATATCCCTCCCTGGGAACAGCATCCCAGCAGTGACCAAGAACAGCTCCAGTGCTGACCCACTGCACGACAGAGCCTGGGGGGCTCCATGGACCCCACACACCTTCTGAGCAGCCTCCTCTGCTGCACAAGGTGCCCAGCAGGGCTCTCTGCCCTCCATCAGAGCAGCTTCTCCCCACCCCGAGACATCCCCAAAGCCAGGCTGTCCTGGTTCCCCAACCAGGACAGACCCAGAAAGGCACAGGTGGTGGGAGAAGTCTGGCCCAGGAGGTGATGGCCCCCTCCGGGCAGCAGCAGTCACCTCTTTCCAGAAAGATCCCCTGGAGGGAAAGAAAGAGAAAGAGAGAAGGAAGAGCCCCCCCAGTCCCTGCTGCCCCCCTGTACCTGTGTCTGTATCCTGTTGAGACCCCTGAACCACAGGATCTGCCCACGCCGCAGCTCCATCTCCGCGTGGTCGATCTCATCCACGTCTTCGGGCAGCTCCTCCTCTGGGATCTCCTCCTTGGTGATGCCATGTCCAGCTTCCTTCAGGAACTTCAGGTGGCTGGTTGGGACAGTGCAGATCAGCTGGGGAGAGACAGGGAGAGCGGCTTCTTAGCCTGAGGCCGTGGGAGCAGGAGCCCACCAGCCAAGGGGACCCAGCTGGGAGACAGTGGGATGAAGCAGAGACATCAGGAGTGGATTAGTGACCTCCCCTCCTCACTGCTGGGGTGGGATGGAGCATCACCCCCTTCCAGAGCTGCCCTGAATAAATACTGGGGAGAACAAGGGCAAGGGGGCAGTGGGAGGGAAGGACTTGGAGCAGGTTTTGGACGCTGGCTCTTACCTGGCCCCACAGGAGCTCCCCAACTCCGATGAAAATACACCAGAACCACTGGCTCAGGGTGAGTCCAGAGCAGCTGAAGGGCTTCCCACCAAACTCCACAATGATGATCTACAGCACAGGAGAGAAGAGTCACACACTGGGGAGCTCCAAGGGCTGCAGGGCACAGCCACGGCACGAGAAGGTCCCCTCAGGTCACACAGCTTTACCCTCATTCCTGGGATTACAAGGGGAACAAGGACCTCACATCTAGGCTGGGAACTTTATGGGACACCAGAGGCACTGCCTGGCACCTCCCAACACACTCTAGAGCCCGAATCATAGAATCACAGAATGGTCTGGTTTGAAAGGGATCCTAAAGACCACCCACTCTGAACCCCCTGCCATGGGCAGGGACACCTTCCACTAGACCAGATTGCTCAGAGCTCCATCCAACCTGGCCTTGAACGCTGCCAGGGATGGTTCAGGTGTTTGTGCCACCAAGAAGCAGCTGCAGAAGAATCAGGGGCCACACCACCCCCAGGGCCTCACCTGGGCTGCAAAGGTGCCCAGCACCACGGTGCAGAAGATGGGGTTGCGGTAGATGGACTCGAAGACGTTCCTCTCGCCGTGGATCTTGCGGGCGTTGATCTCGTTGAAGAGCTGCATCATGACGAAGGTGTTGAAGACGATGGTGTAGTGCTCGGTGGGGGGCGAGTGCAGGGGGGCGTTCCGGCCACTGTCGATGTCAAAGAACTTCTCCCCTGAGCACACAAGGGCAGAGGGGAGAGGCTGAGACCCTGCTCTTTACTTCTGCTCTGCGCTGGTGCAGGTGGAATTAGGATTCCCAGGGTCACCCAAGATCCCCTGACCCAGCTGGAGTCCCCTGTGCCACCCCTCACTGAACCCTGAAGTCCTGAGAGAGGTTGAAAAGCTAAAACCATCTGTGCATCCAGAGGTCTCCAGTGGAAAAATCCCTCTTCACGTCATCCCTCTGCTTCCCACCCGTCATTAAACAAGCCCCATCCTGGCCAACACGGGGTCACCGAGTGACAGCTGAGAACAAGGGTCCCCTCGGGGAGACACGGTGATTGCAGGCAGGGCTGGGACTCTGCCCCTTTCCCTTCTCCCCTCCCGCCATTCCCTGGGGCTCAAAGCTCACCTGCAAAGAGCAGTGTGAAGATGATGGTGAGCTGGTACACGGCGTGGCCCAGGATGTTCTTCATCATGGTGCGGGAGATGAGCGGCTTGTTGCGGCCGTAGGGCTTGCGCAGCAGCAGGGACTCAGAGGGGGGCTCTGTGGCCAGGGCTAAGGAGGCGAAGGTGTCCATGATCAGGTTCACCCACAGCATCTGGACAGCCTTCAGGGGGGAGTCCTGCGGAGAGAAGAGGGGGGAGAACACGTCACGCCACCCATGGCACCCTCTTTTCCCTCCTCCTAAAATCCTCTCCAGGACTGCACTAGGATATTTAACACCCTCCTAAAAACGCTCCTGACACATTTCTCATTTGCTCAAAGCTCCCTGCAAGGCTCCACCCAGCACCTGGCTCGTGCTCACAGTCCACAGAAAACCTGTTAAATCCCCCAGTTTCCCGTCCTGTCCCCTCACCTGGGTGATGCAGGCGCCCGTGAAGGCCACGATGACGGCCACGACGTTCACAGTCAGCTGGAACTGCAGGAACTTGGAGATGCTGTCGTAGACGTTGCGGCCCCACATGACGGCCTTGACGATGCTGGTGAAGTTGTCGTCGGTGAGGATGATGTCCGAGGCCTCCTTGGCCACGTCCGTGCCTGCGATGCCCTTGGGGGGCAGGGAGAAGCGGTGGGGTGAGCCACGGAGGGAGCTCCACGCTCGCCCTGCCCTGCCTGGCTCTGCTTCTGCCCAGAAACAGCCCTCGAAAGGAAAATCCGAGGGAGCCAGCGTAGCCGGTGCCAGCCTGTGGTCGCCAACAGCAGAGCGGAGCTCCACGGCAGCAAAGCCTCCAAGGACAGACACCAGCTCAGCCCCAGGGCTCTGAGTCAGCCCTGCCCTCCTCCAGCCTGTGCCTGTGCACGTGCCAGGCAGGGCCACGGTGCAGCAAAGCTGGAAAACACCTTCCTCCTCCTGCCAGGGAACACGGGCACCCCAGGCTGGGCATCCCAAATGAAGGAGAGGTCCAGCAGCCCGAAATTCCGGTGCCTTCTGCCCCAGCAGGGGTGAGGGCGGCCCCATAGCCTCCCAAAAAGCACCGGACACGGAGCCCTCGGGGCGCTGGGCTGGCTGCGATTCCCCCCGCGGGCACAGCGAGGCGCTCGTCTTGCAGTAATTAAATGCACCCAGGCCATGCCCGTAACGAGCCCATCCCCTGGTGCTTTCCCAGAGGAATTCTCTTGGCGTTTGCCAGATCCCATCCCATCTCAGATCAGGCTGTTGAAGGGCACGAGCTCCAGAGGCACAGTCCCCTGCTTTCTGCTGCTCACCCAAAAGGCTCCAGATTTTCACTTGGGTATTTAACACATCCCTAAAAACACTCCCCCAAAATTTCTCACTTGTTCAAAGCTCCCTACACGAGCTCACAAGGCTCCACCCAGCACCTGGCTCCCACTCACATCCCTAAACTTCAAACAATCCACAGGAAACCTGTTAAAAACAACAGGTTTGTTTTCCTGCTTCTTTCACACGGGGCAAAAAAGAGCAGCAAACCATGAGAGCAGAGCTCTCCACTGTAAATAAACCCCCAAAGCCAGTGCCAGCAGCATGCATGGAGCTGGGGTGAAGAACTGCAGGGATAAACCGGGCAGGTCCCTGCTCTGGGGGCTCTGCCAGCGCCGTGTCCATACCATGGCAAACCCAACATCTGCTTTCTTCAAGGCTGGGCCATCGTTGGTCCCATCCCCGGTCACGGCCACCACCTGCCTCTGGTCACCAACGGTGCTATCAATAATTCCTGAGAGGGAGACAAGCAGTGCAGAGAAATTAAACCCCAAGGACAGGCTCCCAGCGTGGATTGTGCTGGAAAAGCAGCCGGGAAGAGCAGGATGAGCTCACCTTTCACCAGAGTGTGCTTGTCAGTGGGGGAGGAGCGGGCAAGCACCCGCAGCTTGGGCCAGATCTTGTCCAGCTGCTCCTGTTCCACCTGCAGGACAGAAACAGGTGAGGAAGGGAAGTGATCCCTCTGGAATATTCTGCCCCACCAGAGAGCAAACTCCAGCTGGGACAGGACAGCACCTTCACCCCCAAGCACCCTGTGTCTGGCTGGGTGAGCACCTCAGCAGAGGAGGGAGTGCCACCGGGGTTCAGGCCACCCACACCCTCCGCAGAGCAGCGCCCAGGGCTGTTCTCCCACCTCTCCCTTCTCGTTGCGGATCAGCCGGTTGAACTCCTTCCCCTCCAGGCACAGGAAGTCCTCCCCTGGCAGCAGGATGCCACACTTGGTGGCGATGGCACGGGCAGTGTTGATGTTGTCCCCTGTCACCATCCGGACGGTGATGCCCGCACGCTGGCACTTCTGGATGGCATCCGGCACCTGGGGGACAAGGGCAGGGTTTGGGGGGGGGGGGGAACGCAGGCAGGGAGCTCAGTTTGCCACTGGGTATCCCAGGAGCCAGGCAGCTCCTCTCCCAGCCTTCCTAAAAGGGTCTGGCAAGGGCTCTGCACCCAGTGCCCCGGGGGAAGGGAGCCTCGCTGCCACCTCCCTGTCACACCACGGCGCTGGGTGCCGAGGCACTGCCAGGCCACCATAAGAACAGGGGCATTTCACCCCCCACACCCCCCCACCCCACTCCAGCAGCACTAATGGGTTTATCCATTATGGAACGGTGGGGGAAGAGGATATTAGTGAGGAATTGGCAAAATCGAATCAAGGGCCTCCAGAGCCAGTGCAGACAGGGCATCTGTAATGCAATTCCCAGAGCCAGATGCTTGGACATCTAATCAGGAAAAGATCCAGGCGAGGCAGGAGCACGGGGGGCAAGCTCCAAATAGGAATCCAGAGGCAGGAATGAGGGGGGTTATTGCATTAGCCCAACTGCCTACTCAGCACCCCCACAGTGGGGGCAGCAGCTGAGAGGGCCAAACCAGCTCCTCCAGCCCTGTCCTTCTCCAGCACCCCCATCGCTCCTCTGTGGCGTTTCTATCCACCTTTCACACATGTGGAACCAGCCTGGCTTGGGCACAGATCCCTGGAGCAGCTGGGGTGGAAAGTTTGGGTGGAAACACCCTGTCACCAGGTCATTTTGTCCAGGGATGGGAGAGAAACGCCAGCAGCTGGTGGCGTGGGGCACTCCTGGGTGGACACAGAGGAGGTGCCTGGGCTCCCTGAGGGGCTCGTGGTCCTGAGCAGCCGGGAAAGGGATGCCTGGTCCCAGAATGGTGCAGGACAGCTGGGGCAGAGCAGGGTCAGTACCTCTGGCCGCACAGGGTCCTCTATGCCCACCACGGCGATGCAGGTCAGGTCAGACAGGATCTCATTCTCGCTGTCCCAGTCTGGCTCAGCGTCCCCAGGGAAGTCCCGGAACGCCAGGCAGATGGTCCTCAGCCCGTGGCAGGCCATGGGCTCGATCACCTTCTTCACCATCTCGTCCCGGTCCTTCACCTTGAACACCCGGGGGTCGCCGTTCTTGTCCAGGATCTTGGTGCACCTGAGGACGTGAGGAGGGTGAGGGTGACCACTGGTGGCACGTTCCCCTGTCACCCCCTAACTGCAAAACGGGGCCATCCCCAGACCCACAGCTCCCCCCAGCCTTCCCAAAGCCACCCAAAACCAGTTAAACACTCCGCAGGGCAGCACCACCCGACAGTCACCTCCCCTCTCCACCCCTCACCCCGCAGCCCCCCAGAGCAGCCCCCCAGAGCAGCGAGAGCCCAGAGCCCCCCGGGCTGGGGCGAGAGGGGACAGTTACTTGCGCAGGATGATCTCGGAGGCCCCCTTGCTGTACATGCGGAAGCCGCCGGTGCTGTTCTTCAGCACGGTGCTCATGGACTTGCGCACGGAGTTGAAGGTGTAGACCTTGTAGAGCTTCTCCTCGGGCACCTCGTTGCGCACGGCCTGGTAATCCTGCTTGAGGTCCAGCACGAAGCCCAGCAGGGCACACTCCGTCTTGTTCCCCACCTGCCGGGGCAGCCCCCCTTCCTTCTCGGGCGGCTGCAGAGGGGGAAAGGAAGGGAAAAAAGCGATGCCAAACCCGGTGACGGAGCCGCGGGACGGCCGGAGGACACACGCGAGGGGGTGGTGGTTCCCCAGCTCACCAGGATCTTGGACGTGTAGGCCGAGTTGATGGCGACGCCGTGGACGATGAGGTCCAGGATTTTGGGCAGGATGGCTTCGGGGTCAGGGATCTGGCGGTAGTGGGTGTCCCCCACGTAGGCCTGCACCACGGTCATGCGGTTCATGGTCAGAGTGCCCGTCTTGTCTGAGCAGATGGCGGTGGCGTTGCCCATGGTCTCACACGCATCCAGGTGCCTCACCAGGTTGTTGTCCTTCATCATTTTCTGCAATGGGCACCACGGCCGAGAAGGTCAGAGCCCGCAGCCCAAAATTCCATGCCCAGCGACCCCATGGCACCACAGCCTCACCTTCACGGAGTAGGCCAGGGAGATGGTGACGGCCAGCGGGAGCCCCTCGGGCACGGCCACCACCAGCACGGTGACCCCAATGATGAAGAACTTGACGAAGTACTGGATGTAGATGGGGGTGCACTCGGCCAGCCAGGGCCGCTTCTGCACCCCGAACGTGTCGATCACGAAGTACAGCACCAGGATGATGACGGTGATGGCTGACATGATCAGCCCTGGGGGCACACGAGGCAGAGTGAGGGGATGCAGGGCACACAGGGGACACAGGGGACAGGGACAGCCCTTCTCCACCCCAGCTCTGGGGTGGCAGCTCGTGCCAGGCCACCTCCACTCACCTGCCTTCCCGATCTGCACTGCCAGGCGCGTGAGCTTCCCTTGCAGCACAGACTTCTCCTTCTTGGGCACCTTCACCTTCTTCTTCTCCTTCTCCTCATTTTCCACCCCTTCCTGGCTCTTCAGGGGCTGAATTTCTAAGGCCACACCATCCTGAGTTTTAGCTACAGCCCAAGGGCAAAACAAGACACCACGTGTGAATAGGAGAGAGACCGGGAAACCCTGGAGGACACCACTGAGAAAGATGGTGGTGGGAGAGAGAGAGAGAGAGGAAACCCAGACCAAGAACCATTCCCGACGACACACGCATCCGAGCACATGGAAGCTCCGTGTCCCAGGGCCCTGCCACCTCCCTATGGGGCAGTTCTGGGTCATCTACCCTAGCTCATGGATAAGGGATCCTCAGAGGTGACACTGGCACCGGTCACAACTCTAAGGCAGCGCTGCAAGAAACCCTCTGGCCAGGTTTTGGGGTGGAGACTGGACTCACCCAGCCCCTGACCCTGCAGCAGACTGGGAGCGCTTTGTGCCGAACCCAGAGATGCTCCAGTCCCCCCAGTCCCTTGATGATCATCCCCACTCCCCCCCAGTGCCACCTCTGCAGTGCCCTGAGGGCGGCTCAGCAGGGATCACTCGCCAGGGAAGTGACTGAGGGGGTGAGATGGAGGGGATGGTTAGAAATTCGGATGGAGATTGAAGAGGAGGGAACCAGCTCCTTGAATCCCAGCCCTGAGCCATCCACCACGCATTTAGGACCCGAGACAGCCAAGCTTCCTGTGCCTACAATTGGTCTAGTCCAGCTGAAAGTCTGCACTGGGGAAACCCAAGTCTGGAAGCTCTGGAGAGGGGTGGGAAGAGGGTGGGAATCCCCCTGAGAGGCTCCCCCCTCAGCTGCTGGAGCTGGAGGAGCAGCAGTGGCCCCATTGCTGCCCGGGGACCTGTTCCCTCCTGGCTGCTGCTGCTCGATGGCTCGAGACACCCCGGAGCTCACGGCAGCTCCACATCGGACACCTCCACGTCACAACAGACCCCACACGGACAGAACAAGCACCCGGACACAGTCTGACGGGAAGGAGGGAAACTCAAACTGCTGAGAGGAGAGAGAAAGAGAAAGAGAGAGAGGTGGAGAGAGGTGCAGAAATGGGCTTCCTCCACAGCCTGCAAAGAACAGTGTGAGAAACACTGGTGAGGAGACGCTCACGGAGTCGAGGCCATGGGAGGAGAGGGTGCAACCATCACGTTGGCCAGGCCCTGTGGGATGTCTCATCTGGGAACACCAGGAAGGGACCTACATCTCTCCCCCAGCTGTATCCAAACACAAACCCTGGGAAGGGACAGCATCTGATGCGCTCAAGGAATTCAGAGCCATCAAGTCACTGATGCAGCTCAAGGATGAAGTTTGCTCCGAGAACTCTGCCAAAGGCCCAGGCTGCTGGAAGAGCCCTGTCCTCCTTGCACAAGGGCTTTTCCCCACGCAGGGACACCGTGGCCATGGGGGGAGCCGGTCAGGTTCAGCCCAGGATGTACAGCCCCACGCTGGGGTGCCGGGGGGGCACTGTGACGCTGCGCTAGGGCCACCGGTCACGGGACCATTGCACCCTCTGCCAGGACAACGAGGCGAGAGTCCCGCCGGAGCAGCAAAGAGCACAGACTGATGAGAAGAAGGAAGGAAGGAGGAATGCTCAGTAGTTAGTGTGGTGCTGGTTCAAAGGATGGAGAGGCTGGTTACCTTTGTTGCGGTTTTCGGGGGCTCCGCTTTTTTTACCTGTTCAAAGAGAGAAAGGGTGGGGGGCTGAGCACGTGGACCCCACGCTCACCATCTGGCTGGTGGGGCAGCCTGGGATGGGCCCTGCTCCGAGGGGCCGCTCCAGTGGCATCCGTGCCCCGGGCTCAGAGCCCACGGTCACCCTCCGGACACGGCGCGTGCCTCGGTCCACAGCACTCGGTCCAGGGGGGGCTCTGGAGCTCCTTGGCTCCCCCAGGCACCCCAAACCCAAGGATTCAGAGTTCCCCACCTGCAAAGCACCCGCCACAACCCCTGTCAGTGACTCGGAGGGTGCCAGAGGTGCCTCAGACCTTTGAGGAGAAGAAACCCCACAGCAGAGCTTGACCCCCTGCAGCTGCAGGTCCCTTCCTGTCCCACTGGCATCAGGTGCAGGCAGAGCGGGCAGAGCTGGAGGAACCCAGCACACACAGCCCTGAGCCGGAACGGCTGCCAGGAGAGCCCAGGAAGCCTCTCCCCGCCTGGCATCGCCTCCCAGGAAGGGCTCCCTGGCACAGGGATGCCTGAGCAGCCAGCAGTGCCAGCCAGCAGCTCCCTCCTGCCAGCTCCTTGTACCTCTCGGCTGCTCCCGGTGAGCCCAGCCCTGCTGAGCAGGGGTTCAGGGACATGGCAGAACAGGAGCTCCCCAAGCCTGGCTCATCCCAGCGCTGGTACCGGAGCTGGCACCGAGCAGGGCCACAAGCAGCAGGAAAGCATTCGAGCCCCAGCACGATCAGGAACACCTCAGCCAGCCTGGCTGCTCTCCCACCCCAGCACACAACCCCTCCTCTCCCTCCTGCCATCCTCTGCCTCGTCTCCTTCCCCCTCAGGGAATGCAAGTGGAGATCCTCAGCCAAGTCCTCAAAGGTTCTGGATGGGCCACCAACACCCTGTGGACAACCAGGACTCACCTTCCCCCACGGGTGAGCAATGAGCACCGTGGGGCAGCACTGCCGGCCACCTTTCCCTCTGATCCTCGCTCCCCCCACCCCACAGCTCCAGGCTGGATCCCACTGGAGAAGGGAGAGAGCTGGAGCCGTGTCCAATAGAGCCAGGGAGCAGAGTCTGGGTGCACGGGGGGCTTCCCTCAGGCAGCACCAGCCCCACACTGTGGGTGAAGGGGCACAGGGAGGGACCCCCCTGCCTCGAGAGCTCACCATACCTGCCTGGGCCCACGGGCTCTAACACACAACTGCAGCCCACGGGTGTGGCAGCAGCCTGTGGCACACTGTGGTACTTCCCAGGGAAGGGAGAGAGGCCAGAGGAGGGAACAGGCAGGTTCAGGGGATCTCCTTACCTTTCTTCACTTTCTTCTCCTCGTCTCCTTCTCCCGCACCCAAGAGAGTGAAGATGATTCCCGTCTGGGAGTTGATACCCACGGCAGTCACCACCATCCTGCCAGAGCCCTCCATCACGTGGGTACCTGGCACAGCAGGAAGGTCATGGTGAGCCAGGTGGGACAGCAGTTCCCATCTCATACAGTCACAGGATGGTTTGGGTTGGAAGGGACCTGAAAGCTCATCTCATTCCACCCCCTGCCATGGGCAGGGACACTCCCACTAGACCAGGCTGCTCCAAGCCCTGTCCAACCCGGCCTCCGACACCTCCACAGCACCAGGGCCCAAGACCAACCATCTCTGCATCCCGCCCCTGCACCCACCCCACAGGGACCCTCACCTGACAGCAGCATGGGGTCTTTGTCCATGGATTTCTTGACTTGGTCTGACTCCCCAGTCAGCGAGCTCTCGTCTATTTTCAGGTCATTGCCCTGGATCAGGATCCCATCCGCTGGCAAGAGATCACCTGGGAGAGGAGCAAAGAGGGGGATCAGCCTGGTCTGGGGCAGCCACCGCTCACCCCTGCCTGCCCCATCCCATGGGGAGGCTTCAAAAGGACCCAAAACTCAGCCCCAGACCAAATCTGGGGGAAGCAGCAGGTGGGTTTTATAATACAGACAGGTACAATAGGATGATATCCAATAGCTCCAAAACCCTCACTGATGCATGGGAAAATGAGGATTTTACTCAATCAGACAACATTTCCCCACCCAGTTTTAATATATCAACACCAGATCCTTCCCAAAGCTCCTGATACATCCAAACCACTACAGGATCCCACCTTCCAACCTCCAGGGAGGGAAAAAGCCCCATGGGAAAACAAACTTGACGTTGGATCAGTCTCCTTCCTGACAGCAGCTGCACAGGGTGAATATTCCCTCTGGTAAACAAGGAGCTAATTTATCCCAAAGGCTGCATCTCCTCGCTAAGGAAATATTCACCAACAAGGACACGGTTGGGAAAACGAATCACTTTTTGAGACCAGCAGGTCACTAAAGCAGCCCAAAGCTGTGCACAGAGCCTGGCTTAGCTCTGCCAACTCCAGGGGTCCCAGAGACAGGGTGAGTGGAGCTCCGTCTACTCCCCGGGAGCATCTCCCATCACCTCAGGGGGCTGCGAGGGAGGGGCCAACACTTCCCCTCGGGGCAGAAGGGCTGGAGAAGCAGAGGAGGAATCGCTGGGCTCCCGAGGGGGAGGACACGCCCCAGCCACCCCCCCAAGGGGAAGGGCAGCCCCCCCCCACTCACCGTACTTGATCTGCGCGATGTCTCCCACCACGATCTCGGCCACCGGGATCTGAATCACCTGCCCCTTGCGGATGACCGTGAACTTCTGCTCCTGCTCGATGCGGCTCTGGAGGCCCCGGAACTGCTTCTCCTTGCTCCAGTCGTTGAAGGCGGTCACCAGCACCACGATGATGACGGAGAACAGGATGGCTGCCCCCTCGATCCAGCCGGCCTGCGACTCGCCCTCGTCCTCCACGCCGCCCGTCGACTGCCCGCACACTGCTCGGGGCAGAGCTCTCGTTTGCACACCCAGACGTGTTTGGCACACCCAGGCATGCTCATTTGCACACCCAGGCACTCTCATGTGCACACCCAGGCACGCTCATTTGCACACCCAGGCATGCTCATTTGCACACCCAGGCACGCTCATTTGCACACCCAGGCACCCGCCTAGAGCTAAGCTGAGCGTTTTGGAGAACAGTTACTCCTCCCTCCTCCTCCCTGAGCTGCCTGGGCTTCCCCAGCTCTCAGGAGAGGGTTTTTACATCCCTCGAGGAATTTGCTGGGTTTGCTTTTTCCCCCTTCCCCCCCCCCCCCCCTTTTATCACTTTTCCTTTCTGGCAGAAGTTGGGCTGAGCTGGGACAACTGGCTTCTATTTCCAGTTGCAGCACCCAGCGCTCCCTGTGCTGCGTGACCCTCGAGTGAGTCACATCTCCCTGTGGCTCACATCTCCCTGCATCTCCAGAGCCCTGTGCCTGCTCCACTCCTCCAGCAACGCCAAGATCCAGGGGGAGAAACCCGCCCAGCACAGTCCTCAGCCACCCATGGGGTGTCGCAGCACTCCCTGGGCAGGGGGACATACCAGGGGACAGACAGTCTTGTCCCTCCCTCCACAAAGGAAAGAAGCAGCCCCATGGGGTATGGGAAGCCACTGGATCAAATGGACCCCTTGGATTTGGAGCATCTTTTGGGGAACAGTCAGGAGCAGCTCTGAGCCCCTGGTGCCCAGACATCCATCAGTGCAGGTCCCTGGGCGGGGGGGCGACCCACACCAAAGACCCCAAGGATGGGGAGATGCCACCACCCAGAGCAGATACAGCTCGACCTGCGCAACCTTCCAGAGACATCACCTGTCCCAAATCCCTGCTCCCACAGGGCTGGGCACAGCAGCTCCCAGGAGTCCCCCACCAAACCACAGGGACCTCGGGGACTCACGTTCATTGTCCCCACCCGGGGGGTGGTAGAAGGACAGGCCCAGGGAGATTATGGCTGCGATTTCCAAGATGATCAGCGTGACGTCCTGGAGTGCCTCCCACACTAACTGCAGGAACGTCTTGGCCTTTTTGGGAGGAATGAAATTCTGGCCGAAGACCTGCCGCCTCTTCTCCAGGTCGGTCGGGTTCCCGGACAGGCCTGGAGAGGGGAGAGACAGGGATGGGGGCAAACCCCACTGCTGCCCCACAGTCCCCCCAGCAGCACCAGCGAGACCCCCAGGAGCAGCTCCCTGCCTGCACAGGGGGCACGAGGTGCAAGCAGCAGGGAGCCAAGGCAGGGCTTTGCCCCCGTCACCCACGGGGGGCAGGGGACACGCAGGGACCGGGGCGAGCACGCCCAGCCACCCTCCCAAGTGCTGCAGCCTCCAGTGCCAGTCGATGCCAGTTGGCACTGGCCAGCTTGTTTACATGCTGCATCAAATTAGCCGTAAATCTGGCACCGGGAGCGGCGCTCGGAGCTGCCGGAGCCACCTGATCCCTGTGTCCTGCCAGCTCCGAGGAGCAGCGGCTGCAGAGAGCGACCGGGCACAGCAGGAGCGTCTCCGAGCTCAGCTCAGCCCCACGGCCAAGCTGGTGGAGGGGACACAGGCTGGTCCTGCTGGAACGGGGTGGTGGGAGAGAGGGAAGGAGCAGGACAGCCCCGAGCTGGGGTGCTGCTCCCCACGCCTGGGAGCAACACCTGAGAGAAGGGGGAGCAGATGGGGGCAAAAGGGGAGCCTGAGCCCCTTCAGAGCCCTCCCACCCAGACCACCAGCCAGTGGTGGGAGACACAAAGTACCCCGGCCACCCCCCATTACAGCAGTTTAGAGCCAATGGGGTCCCAGGCGAGGGCAGCCCCCCCGCCCAGCACCACCTTAACCGAGCCCCCCATTTCTCCTCCACCTTAAGATGGCCCGTGGGGTCGCTGCCAGCTCCCGGGATGCACCGGGAAGCGGCGTAAGTGGCCCTGGACACACGGCAGTGCCTGGAGCAGCCTGGCAGCGATGCTGCCCCGGGGGACCCAGCCCTTGTGCTCAGGGGACACCTCCCCGCCAGCTTCGTGTCATTCCAGGGGACACCTCCCTGCCAACTCCGTGTCATCCCAGGGGACACCCTCCGTGTCATTCCAACCAGGAGGAAGCAGAAGAACGAATCCCATTCCCACACCCACATCCCCCCCCACCAGCGCTCCCCCTTTGGGCTGCGGCTCCACCCCAGCTGCAGGGAGGGGACGCGCTGGCAGAGCAGCCCCGCTGTCCCCACCCAGCCCTGACGAGGCAGCAGGATCCTGGGATCTCCCGGCCTCAACTCCCGCCCAGCCTCTGCGGCGGAACGGATGGAAAATGTGGCTAAACTGCCGTGGAGCCAGGGCTGTGCCACGGGCACACACGTGCTCCTCCACGAGGGCACAGCACAGGGGAGGGGGCAGACTTTGGCTCCTCCAAAGCACATCCCACCCACGGCCGTGATCCCAGGGCTGCCCCCCACCCTCCTGGGGCAACTGAGGGGGGTCAATGTCTGTGCTGACACAGGGAGGGTGCCAAAGAGCAGCGGCCACACTTGGGGCAGCAGCAAATCCCCCTGGCAGGGCCTGAGGATCCAGTTATTGGGGGTTGAGTGGGAAATTTTGGGTAGAGGCCAAAAGTGGCAGCAGAGAACAAACCCTCCATAATTATCCCAGGAAAGCTGCTGTTGGGTGGCAAAGCCTTGGCACAAGGAGCCCCCACGCAGGATCCTCACCCTGGATCGGGAAGGAGGCGGCAGCCCCGGGAGCTGCTCCCGCCAGCGGGTGAGTCAGGGCGGTGTGTGCTGGCTCTGGGCACCCAGGGGACACCAGGGACACTCGATGGGTGACTCACTGAGCCACCGCCCTGCTCGGGGGGGACAGGGGGTGTGGGGGTGGAAAGCCAGTGCCTGGCAGAGAGACACGCCACTCCATCCCAAAGCCCCTCTGGGAGCAGCCCCAAGGGATTGGGGTCCACTGACAGCTCTTGTGGGGAGAGCCAGAGCCCCAGCAGATCCCAGCAGATCCCCATCCCGATGCTGGGGAGGCCCTCACTGCACAAACAGTCACGTGGGGGGGTCCCACCCTATGTGGATGAACAACCCAAGGGCCTCTCGGGGTGCAGGCAGGCTCTGGGAGGACCATGGTCACCATCTGACCCACAAGGACAGTGCCAGGCTGGAGAGGGGACTGCCAGCAGCATGGAGAGTGCCACTGAGGGGCAGGAGTCACACAGATCCAGGTGGCATCAAACTGCTCCAGACCCTGCCCACCACAGGGTGATGGGTGGAGAGGGGCAGGGGGTCTGGGGGGGCACCCCAGACAGGCTCTGCTGTGCCAGTAGCTTCCTCTGGTGACACACAAAAAGAGGACACAACCTTGTGCTCCCTGCCCAGAGCTCTGTGTCAGTGGGGTGAGGAGCAGAGGGAAAATGAGATCGAGGATGGGCACAAACATCCACACAGGGAGCTGTGACATGCACCCCATGTCCCCACTCTGACAGGATCACACAGAGCTGGCTCAGGGTTCTGCTGTTCCCAAAAATCCCAGCTTGTTGGAAATAACCTTTTTGTGCTCTCTGGGCTCAACAGGACGGGGTTTGGGATGGGCAGCAAAGCTCAGCTCCAGAGCAAGAGGGTGAGGGAGGGATGTGCTGGGGGCACGAGATCCAGCACTGATGACCAGCAGCACCTGGGATGGAAGGGCAGCCCTTCACCTGCCCACAGAGAGCCTTTCGGGTCTGCTTCCCCCCTCCCCTCTCCTCCCGCCCCCAAAGGAGCGTGTTCCCACTTTGGCAGGACCAAACACATTGTTTTGTGACCTGGACTTGGTATTTCCACCGGGACTCCCCCCCCTTCTCTAATGACATCCCGATATTGTCTCCCCTTCCCGGTCCCACTCACAGCTGGAAACACACTAATCCCCACCTTTCAGCACTAAGAATAACCCACAAGTTTTCAGAGCTGAGGCGCAGCCACATCCCCCACCCCACAGCCACCCAGGGGCCACATCCTGCTCCCAGCTCCAGGTAAACCCTTGGTGCTGTGATCAGAGGGTCTCTCACCCTGGTACCCTGTAGTGCCAGGGAAGGGGTCCATCACTCTGCTAAGGCACCCGCAGCTCCCCAGTGCCAGCAGCCTGAGGGGGACCCCAAAAGCCAGCCTGGGCCGTGGGAAGGAGAGGTGACACCCTGATATCCTTCCACAAAGCCTTCCAGAGGTGAGCTGGCACCCACAGGCATCACTGCCACCACCACTCCAAACTGTGATGCCCAGAGGCACCAACCAGGTTTTCCTCTGTGATCCCCTCCATTCAGGGGTGACCTGGGCGCCTCTCCCCATCCCCCCAGGGATGTGCTGCCCACCCCTGGTCTGAGATGCCTCAAACAGCTCCAGCCACCTCCCCAGCACCATCCAACCTTTACACTCTCCCTCCCACTGGCTCTGTCAATGATTAAACAGGGGAGAAGCTGGTGCAGAGCAGCGGCCGGGCTGCGGCGATGAGCCCCCCGTGCCCCTCTGGCAGCCCAGCAGCTCCTCACCCCTGACCTCACCCCGCCTCCGCTCCATCCTCCCAGGGGACGTGGGGCTCCAGGCCACGCCTCGGGGAAGCCCCTGCCACCATGCTTCTCCTTCTCCTTCCTCCTTTTCTGCCTTAAACGTTCCTTTTACGAGACCCGGGGAGCGTCTCCTGTGATGGACACCGGGCACGACGGCGCCAGCCTCGGAGCCACCACCCTCCAGCGTGACCCTCCAGCCCAGAGGTGACAACCCCACCTGGCAGGTGGCCACTCACCTTCGACGGGCGACGTCTTCAGCCGCTTGCAGACGTTGTGCACGCCGCCGTAGGAGTCGTTGAGCCGGGCCACGGCCTCGGCGCTCCGCAGCTCCATGAGGTTCCTGAGCTCCACCATGGAGCACCCGAAGTCCCCCTCATGGTTGCCTTCGGCCACCGAGTTGCCGGGGTGGTGGTCGGCCACGTTGTTCGTCATGGTGCCGGTGCCGGTGCCTCGCGGCTGCCTCGAGGGTCCGGCTGGGGGGGACGCTCCGTGCGGCCCCTTCCCTGGGGGGAGCAGGTGCCTCTAACCGAGCCCAACTTCTCCGGATAGAGGTGTAAACAGGATGTGCATGTTACCGCGGAGGCGACCTTAGCAACGACCAGCGTGCATCTCCTGCAGAAGGAGGAGGGCTCCCTGGATACCACAGCAACTGGAGCTGCGAAAACAAGGGATGGGGAAACGAAAATACCGGCGTGAGGAGGCCTGCGGACGAGGGCACGCGCCCCACGGGGTGGGGGAGCGAGGGCGGGGGCACCCCGGGCTGGGCACCTGCCAGGGATAACGTGGGGTCAGCGTGATTCGACCCTAAAGCCCGGGTGAGGAGCTGGCAGGCTCAGCGTGGACACGCTGCGGGGAAAACCGGCAGCGGCAGCTCCGGGGCCGGGCAGGAAGGGCGCCCAGGTGGTTCTTCACTCAAACCCAGCTGCCCGGCCCAGAAAAACGTCCCATTCACTCTGGGTTAAAAATACACCTCGGCAGTGGAAAACAGCTGCTTCCTGCACGGGCAGGCGCCGGGGCTGGAGCGCCGCTCCCTGCCTGCCAGCAGGTAAGAGAGCATCCCACACCCATGGAGAGGGGCTCACTGCACCCAGCAGGCTCCGAGCCAGCTGAGAGGTGCTGCAGGGACCAGGGAAGCCACTAAAATCTGGGAGTTCCTCTAAAACAGAGGCTTTTCCGTTCATGACCCTTTCGGAGAAGCCCTCGAAGGCAGCGGGCGGCTCTTGGCCTCTGCTCTCAGCACCTGCCAGCCAGCCTATAACCCTCCAGCCCTGCCAGCGAGGACAGAGGAGTCCCAAAAACGCTTCAACCAAGTGCTGTGGCCAGGCAGGCACAGCATCCAGCAGCTCCCACATTCCCCAGGGATCTGGGATCCCCCACTGGCATTCCAGACAGAGAGGATGGGTGCTAGGGACAAACAGGGACACAGAGGGAGCAGCAGAGCAGCACAGGCCGGAGGGGAAAAGTGTTGTTTGTCAGCCAGGGTGCCCTCCAGCTCTGTATCCAAGTTCCAGTGCCAGCAGCAGTGCTCCTGGCGCTCCAGAGGCAAAGAGCCTGCAAGGGAGGCTCTTATGGAGAGAAAATGAAGTCTTTCCTAGAGCAATATAAATGAATATCAAAAGGAACGGCCACTACAGCAGCAGCAGCCTGAGACAGGGTCAGGAGGCGGCAGAGCAAGCGGGCAGGGAAGACAAGCAGCCAGACAAGAACGGGAGGAAGGAGGGAGAACATCTATCCCTGCATCCCAGGGACACACGGGATGCACCAGCCCTCACAAACCCAACAGGCAGGCACCACACCATCATGGGGCTGTCCCAGCTCACCCCACAGCATGTGACCCTAACTGCAGTCACAGGGACTCTGCAACCCCGGGGGCAAGCAGAGCCCAGAGAGCAAACCCCTCCCTGCCCAGCCCCTGGGAGTAGCTCCCTGACAGCAGCACCCAGGGCAGCTCTCAGCATTATCAGGACAGAACAGGCACCAACTGAACCTCAGGGGGGTCCTTGTCCACCAGCTGCAGGCACTGAAGGGACTGGGAGCACAAGGAGCTCAGGGATGGGGAGCGCTGCGGCTCCCGGGACACCCAAGCCCGCACCCTTGGGGCAGAGCGTTGCTGCTGCCCCACAAAGCAGAGATCGAGTCCAGCATTCCCAGCCCAGCATCCCTGCCCACTCCCAGCCCAGTTACCCCACAGCTCCTCGTGGAGCTGAGCTCATCCATCATTTAAAGGCACGCTGGCTCCCAGCAGCGGGAAGCAGGAGGTGGCAGGCCCAATTAAGCAGACTCCTGCTGATTAAGAGAAAAAAAGATAATTCCCTCACCCCAACACGCTAATTTTTTTCCTTTTTTCATAGCAACCAGCGTTGTCTGAGGAGAGCTCAGAGGTTAAGAGAAAGACAGTTAATTAATCCTGTAACGGCCTAGTCCATAATTACCCCTGGAGGAGCTCAGGGCACCATCAGCACCAGCCCATGTCCCACCGTGCCGCTCCAGCCCCGGGACTGGCTCTGCCTGTCAGGAAAGGAGGGGCTGTGGTTGGGGAAAGACTCCTGTGTCTGCTCTGAACGCCCTCCTCCAGCCCATCTGGGGTCACAGACCCGTTCCTGGCCTGTCTCTACCCCATCCCACCAGTCCAGCACAGGCTCCTGCCTGCCTTGGCCAAACCGGGAAGGCTCCTCTGGACTGCACTCAGGCTTCCCTGAGAGCCATCATCCTAACGAGCTCCTAATGACTCCAGCAGCGTTCAGCAGGCTGCCCTTCACTCCAGTAATTCATTTCCAGAGCCCCCAGGCACTGGAGAGGAACAAGTGCTCCCCGAGGGCCGCTTTGGGAAGAAAACAAGGCCCAGGTGGGAGAGCAGGAGCGGGAGCGCCCTGCTCGGACACCACGGGACCCCCAGAGCCACCACCAGAGCTGTGTCAGCTCCCAAAGGACATCCCTGGGCAGGACAAGGGCTGCTGTGGAGTTTGGGATGAGGGACACGGGCTGTCTGGAGCCAGGGACCGGGGGAGACGCGTGCTCCGGGCAGCAGGGAGCGGCTGGCGAGGAGCGGCGGAGCCGATGCCGGAGCCGGTGCCGTGCTGCAGGCGAACCTGCCCGGAATAATAAACGGCTGCACGACACCTCCGTCCTGGCAGGGAGAGCAGCCACGGCCAGAGCCGGCACCAGAGCATCCCCCGTGCCCACCCCGGCCCCTGGCACGGGGAAAGGGACCCGCTGGCTTTTGAGCTTGGGAAGAGGAAAACGCTCGGAGAGGGACAAGGAAAATTAAATCAGCCGGACGTGCCACACGTGGTGACTTCAGCCAAGCCACGATGGCCTCGCTGTGACACCGATGGCACTGGCAGCTGGCACACGCCAGCAGCAGCCATCACTAAATCCCTGGACAAGGCCATGGATCCTCCCAGCTCATCACACTGGAGCAGACCCCAGCACTGCTCCTGCTCCCTGCAGACGACCAGAGATGGAGCAAGCCCTGACCAAGCTCAGCTGGGTGTTTTCCTTTATCCATGAAGGAGGGTGAAATCCATGCCCCAGCTCAGCTCCCCTCCAGCCTGAACACCTCCCACCATCCAGGGCAGAAAGCACCGTGCTGAGGAAGAGCAAGAGCAGCCACCACATGCCCTGCCCAGAGCCACGAAACCCCAGCTTGGACAAGCAGGATCAGGTCCATGAGCAAACCTCAGGCCACGTGGACCACGGTGGATCACCTTCTCCAAGCACCTGCACCATGCCACCAGCATCCCAGCCCCAAACACTGCCCTTCAGCAGCACCCACTGGGGTTCATCTCCTCTCCCACTTTGGGAATGGGGTGTTGCAAACACTTGGCTGCTGTAGGTTGCCATGGCAAACTCAATGTAAAGCTGTCAGGGATGCTGTTTATGTTGCCAAGTGGGGATGGAAAGAAAAAAAAAAAACCTCAACTCCCCCAAAATTACCCCTTCTTGGCTTGGGTTTCAGATTTTTCTCTTTGGGAATTAAAAAGCTGAGCTGCATCCCCAGTGGAACGAGAGAGGCTGCACTGAGCCCCAGAGCACAGAGCACGGATAGACCCACTCTCCAGATGGACACATGGGTTCCAAAAGCCAAAGCAGTCAATTAAAGGAGGAAAATGGTCCTAAACCACCGTTCCCTGGCTGCTCTCTGGGAGATGTCCCAGGAGAAACTGCACAGCTCTCCTGGATCTCCTTCCCACCTCACAGAGCCCAGCGTCACTCAGCCCCCACCGTGGGCTGCTGGGAGCCACAGTCCCACGTGGGAGCAATGCTGGAAGGGCTGCATTTGCTGAGAACATCACTGGGAGAGACACGTTAGGTGCTGTCATCAGTGGAAGGTGTTCTGGGAGGGGAAGAGACGCCCACTGCAGCGGGGAGGGACACGCCAGGGGACGTGTGGGGCTCCCTGCACTGGGGGGGTCTGCACTGACACCTTTGCAGAGCACACCTGTGGGGTCTCAACAGGTGAAACCCCTGGGCATGCTGCTCTCAAAGATGTGTGGGGCACGGGGAGGGCACAACCCCCACCCCGGTGCCCGCTGGGGCTGAGTCAGGTCCATCTCCCACGGTGGAGGGACATGGGCACAGGGAGCAGACGGTCAGACCACGGCAGCACCAACTCTTAGGGGATTTTGAGGGCCTCTCACCTCCCACCCGGCGCCGCAGCGGAGCCCCCACCTCTCCCCGGGAAACAGGGGGGCCCCAGCACCCCAGGGGCCGGAGCAGGGCCCCTCCCCTGCACACTCACCAAATCACAATGTGCAGATGGCAGCCTCTCCTCCTGCCTGTTCCCAGCAACACCCCTGGCAAGGGAAGCCTTCCCTCCTTAACCCTTCCCGTGCTGGGTGCCCCAGGAGGGCACCCAGAGGGGACACCGTGGTGTTGTCACCTCCTCTGGCTGGCGGGCAGGAGCCAGCGCAGTGACTCACTGTGACAAACCACGTGATCTGCAGGGGCAGGGGCCATCCCAGGCAGGATTGTCACCCTCGGGACCAGGAGCTTCCCAGGCAGCCACCGAGGCGGGATCGCAGAGGTCGGAGCGGGCAGCGAAGGTCACGGTGCCAGGAACTGGTTGTGCACCCCGACACCCCCATGGCAAAGGCACAGGGGGACCAGGCCAGGCCCAAACAGCCCGGACAGACCCTGCAGGCACGAGCTCCACTCACAGCCCCCCGTGACGGCACGAGCTCCACTCACAGCCCCCCATAACGGCACGAGCCAGCGTGGGCACAGGAGTTGTCCCCCTCTCCCCAGTCACGCTGGTGTTGCCCCTCCCTGCTCCTTCCCCAGGGCTCTGGGTGACAAAACGAGGCAGGTCCCCGGTAGGGGCTCCCCGGGACAGCACCTGTGGCACCCACGGGACGTTCCCTCCTCCCACCGCAGTATCCGCTTCCTCCGTCGGAGCGCGCTCGCCGGGGTGGGGGGAGGTGGCACTTCCCTCCCCAGTGGGGCCACCCCAGCACCCGACAGCGGGGAAACCCCCAGTGACACCCACCCCACACGGGGAGCACGTGAGAAAACACGAGAGCAAAACGCCTGGGATGGGGCGCTGCAAGAACCGCAAGAACCCCTCCTTTTCCCCTTGCAGTGCTGAGAGGGAAGAAGCTCCCAGCCTTCATCCTGCAAGAGTGGGGGGACTAAACATGCCCCCCCCACCACCAG